TTGGGGGTGGTGGGGGTCTGTCCGGAGCGGCGCACGGTGGCCGTGCCCGTCGCGCCGCTCTGTTGAGGCCGCGCGCCCCAGGCCTGCCCGGCAGGGGGGTGGCTCTCAGGGAGCACTTCGGCGGCCCCCAGCCCGCCGCCCCCACCGTCCAAAAGGCGATTGTCTTGCAAGTCCACCATGGAGAGGCTCTTGCTGCCATTGGCCATCTGGGCGTCGGGCTCATTGGCCTCCGAGTAGCTGGAGCTCCGGGCGGGCGATGGCTGAGCCCCCGCAGACCTTGTGACAAAAAACAAGTCCTTGTTTTCAGGGGTTGGAGACGGTAACCGTGTGAAATCTATCAGACTGTGGGGGAAATAAAAATGCATAAGGAGAAGAGGAAGGAGGAGGAGGAGAAGAAGAAGAAGAAGAAGAAAAGGCGAAACGGCGAGACAAAGAGCGAAATGCGCTACGGAGAGGACAGCAAGCAGGCCAGCAGGTAAGCGCACCACATCCGCCATGCTCAGGTGAAGAACATGCTGCTCTCAGGAAGCAACCCTCCACAACCGTTGCGCCCTCGCCCCAGCAACCCTAACCCTTTCCTCTGACTCCTGGCTCTTGCAGGGCCAGGTGCGGGCACAGAGGGGCCGCCCTTGGCTGTGGGGCACTGCCAAGGGAGCAGGGGTTGGCAACGGATGCCGTGCAAGGCCACCGCCCACCTGTCCCGGCTCGGCAGCTGGGTGCTTGGCCTGAGCAATCGATCGTCGCCTCCCCCCAGCCGCTCAGCCTTCCCCCCGCTTCGACATCCCAAAGCAATCTGTCTGACTGCTTCACATTTTGGGGTCTCCACAGACCATGGGCTCCCCCCGGCCGACCCCTCCCTGCGGCAACGGCCTCTGCAGCAGCCAGGCCAGCCTGTCCTTCCCAGCGCGGCCATCTTTCCGTTGGTCTTACCCAGACAGGTCGTTCTCAATCACCATCTTCTGGAGCCCCACAGAAATGCCGTTGCCGGCGCCAGGCGTCGAGGCCGTGGGATCCGTCGTGACGGAGACCTGCACGCAGGACGGATTGCTCAGAGCAGCGTTGACATCCCTGAGAAGGCGCTGCAGGGGGCCCAGCTTGGTGGCCGTGCTCTGCAAGGGAGAAAACCGTGGGACCCTTGCCATCTCGGTCTCCAACGCCTTTTGCCGCCCTGTGAACTCAAGGCGTTCGCCGTTCGCGGCTCAGAGGGTTACCTGATCCAGCTGAGCAACCACCTCCCAGAGCAGGGAGTGCAATGTGGCCAGCTCCCGGCCCAGGTCGATGTAGCCCTCAAAGCCCGCCGTGTTCGAGAGGGTCTCTGGGTTGGAGATCTCCAGCAGAAAGCGCTGCATGTTGGTCCACTCGTGTTCCAGGAACTGGTTCATGAAGGACATATATTCTTCCTTACTCCCGAACCTGTTATCAAATGCAGAGGAGGACTGTCAGGCCCCCCTGAGAATCAAGTGCCTGGTTAACGTCGGGGGAGCCTGCAGCTTCCATCTCCAAGGTCGTAAAGGCAGGCAGGTTAGCGTTTTTGAGGAGCGGGGAGGATCCTGTGGGTGGCAGAGCAGCAAAGGGGTCCCTGGGCCGCGAGAGCCCAGGAGGGCGGCGGCCAGGCAGCCAGGGAGAGCGAGCACTGGGGGCAAGGCCTGGAGGCTCCCCGCCTGGGGATGTCGGGGACAAATTTCATGCCCTCCTTTGGCCAGAGAGCCCACGGGCCGTACATTCACGGCTACAAACGCGAGGGTGCCGGCTGTCCAAGCCAAACACTGTTCCGAGCAGGGGAAAGGCTGGTGGGTGAAGGGATGCAGCCGGGCAAGGCCACTCTGTGCTCTGCCCTGCGTTTGGGAGATGGCATCGCTGCAATTCTCAGGTTTCTTTCTTTTTTGGGATAAGCAGCTCAGAACTCCCCAGTAAAGCCAGTGGAGAGATTTCTCGAAATCTTTCCCCTTTGTTTCCAGCAAAGCTCTGGCCTTAAGTAGAAAACTGGCACCACGGCACAGTTGTGGGTTTTTCTTTTTCTTTTTCTGCAATTGATCTTCTTGGTTTCAGAGGGTTTAACAACGCATAATGGTAAGAGATGAGTGTGCAGAAGCCTGGGGAGGGAAAGTGGGTTCTTCCCTCCCCTTCCCCTTCACAGACTAAGCCCTGAATCAGAAACAAACCCTACAGGACGAGGAGTGGAGTGCAACACCTTGACACGTTCAGGCTTCTAGCCCCTACCGTCCCACGGAACGAAAACTGTGGTGCCAAACTGGCCACTCAAGTACCTTTCCAGCCCCCAAATCAGCTGGTCGAGCCAGCGGAGCCTTACTTGGCAAAGTTGGCCAGGTTTTGGGTGACCTTGGCGATGAGGGTCAACGTCCGGGCGGTGCGGTCGTCTGGGTACTCCTGGAGCAGGTTGAACAGGGAGGGCGACATGATGGCCGGGCAGAGGAAGCGGAGGAAGAGGGAGGCGCTGATCAGCCGCTCGCTGATATCTGGCCGGCCGCGGCTGCTGCACTCTTGACGCCACGAGGCAAAGACCTCTTTCAGCTCCCGGGGGAAGACGCTGCGGGGAGACAGGAGGCGGGTTCCGGAGGCGGCTCTGTGGGGGACGTGCTTCGCCCTCCGGCGCGGCCGGCGGCCCCCAGGAGCAAGCAACCCCCGGAAGCAGAACCCACCTACCAGTACGAGTTGATGATTTTGCAGAAGGCCAGTTCGCAACACATCTTCAGGTTGCTCTGGTGTTCCAGGAGGTCGGAGGACGAGCACTTGCTGGGGTCCACCTCGCAGTTTTCATCCGATTCGTACAGTGCCTTGATGAACTCGCCTGAAAGCGCGGGGAGGGAGGAGGGAACTGATGAAGCCCCAAATCATGGGTGCAAGGGAAGGAAAGTAAGTGGCTGGTGGAGAAACCCAACTTCATTTCCACCACCACCCCCTGGCAAATCAGGTTACTGGTCCTCATGGCTGCAAATCTACAGAGGGGAACAGGTGAGCACTGGAAAGAAGCAGAAGAGCAGACTCCGCAGAGCTCCTCCTTGCAACAGGTTCCCCACTGCAAAAGCCCCCCAGTGCCCACAATGACATGGCCCCATTTCCCGGGATTACAGGCGGCCCCTGCCCACTCCTGGCCCTCTCTGGAAACCAACCCAGAACAGCTTTGCGCTCTCAGCTGAGCACACGCAGGAAGTAGCAAGGAAGGTGAGCCAGAAGCTATGCCCCGAGCCACTGGAGGGAGATCTGGCACCGTGGGAAGAAGGCTGAGCCCCAGGGCTGATTCCCACCCAGCGCTGCACGGGCGGAAACGGCAGAGGTTCCGCTCTGGCGTGCACCGCCCTCCGTGGCCCCAGCAGCGTGGCCAGGAGAGCCGCTGCTGCCCCGCCTCTCCTGCCCCCAAGCCTGGGGGAGCCCCTGGGGTGGGGCGCAGGGCTGTGGGACCGACCGCCCACCCACCTAAGGCGTCCTGCAGGTACTTCTGCCCCACCAGCTTCAGGTACTCCTCAATGGCTTTCGTGGCCAGCGTGTTTTCCCGGAAGATGAGGTGCTCGTTCTCGCCACAGCGGTCGACCTCCGACATCATGAGGTCCGTCAGGAAGTCCTGGGGAGGAGGGGGTGCGCCGGGGTGAGAGGACGCCGGGCCCGAGGGGCACAGAGGGCACCGGCTCCCCCCTCCCTGCCTGCCTGCCTGCCCGCCCGCCCACCTGGAGGGCCTCTGAATACTCTGGGCTTCAAGGTGGTCTCATTTCATTTCTGCGATCCTCGCCTTCCTCTCCCTGCCCATTGGGCCCATAGTCCTGGTTGCGCTGGGGTGGGTTGTTGAAGATCAACCTTTCCTGCTGGACCGATGCGCGGGGGAGCCCCAGCCACTCACCCCCTGCACCAACGCAAAAGAAGGAATGGACCCCTCCATCAAGGCGCCCCTGCCTGTCGGCCCCCAAACTCCTTGCAGCCGTCTACCCCCGGTCCAAAGCCTCTGTGTGGGGTTGCGTGAAGCCACACGACTCCGTGTTCCTGGGAGAAACGGAGACTCTCAATGCTCCTTGAGGACCGGCCCCTTGTGTGCAGCTTGGGGGGGAAACGGGCCCCAAAGGGGAGACGTGGATGGCAGCGGGGCCCGGGGGGAGCAGCAGCGGCTCTCCTCTGAACAGGCCGAGGGGGAGCAGCTCACCAGCTTTTAGACCCACCTGCCTCCACCCGGATCCTGCAAGCTGGATGCCCCACCCCCCATTTCTCTCTTTTGGGGGTCTTTCCCTAGCTTGTGCCACCATCATGAGCGTTCCTGGCTTGGGGCTGCCCGCCTCCTCTCCTGAGACGGTTCTGCTCCTCCAAACTTTTAGCAGCATTATTTGGACCGGCTCCTCCTGCCTTCCCGGGCCCTGCGGCTAGCCCGGCTAATCCGCTGCTCTAAAGGCGGCCGCCTTTGGCTTCCGTTTCAGCCACCAGACCTCGGCCGGGTTGCTTTTGCTCCCGTCGCTGGCCGACCTGGAGACCCGCGAAGGCGGATGGGAAGCGCCGACAGGCACCCTCGAGAGCCGAGCTGGGGGGGGGGCCGCGTTCTCTGCAAGCAGGAGGTGCGGCATCCCGGGGGGGCTGCCTCGCCACTCCTTCACCTGCTCCCCCCAAAGTAATGCTGCAGGGACAGGAAGGGGGCAGCAGCAATGCCTCGCCCCGGGGCTCTGAGGTTTGCAGAGTCGGCAGATTTCATGAACAGCGGAGCTATTAGTGCCGAGACGGGTTATTAGCCCTGAAAGTGGCAGCACGCGTGGCTGGCGGCAGCTGCCCCCTCCGCCCCCCCCCCCCCACAACTTTTTTCTGG